TTGTTTTTTTTATAATCACAATGTAAAGATAAGAGGTGCGTCAAACAGGTGAGGTGACTTTATTACTCAAAGTCCTCCTCTGTTGACTGACCTCAGCTCGTGCCATCCAAGAGCACTTGCTCAGTCTATGATGAAAATGGTTTGGCAAAGTTGCAGCAGTTGTTTCACTTGCTGTGAGTGACTGCTGCAGAGGTATTTTCTTTTGTAAAATATCCCAAACAACTGTAATATGTAAATAGAACCTGAAAGTGGGTCCCGAGAGGTCTGCAGGGCTTGAGAAGTGGGCCCGACAGTTGTGATCCAGACGTGAGTTCTCTAAGTGAGCTTGGTTGGATTTTGCTGTGGTGTATTGTTGGTAGCCAGACTTTTATTCCGGGTTGTTTGGCTTTGCACCAGTGATTTTGATAAGGACCTCCTTCCAGACCGCGAGATATGGATTAGAGTTCGGCTATGCGGGATTCGTATGAGAGCCCGGCAGGGTCGGAAGCGAGAGGTGCAAGCAGTCGGACTTTAATTCCAGACTGTGGCATTGCGCCATCAATTTAGGGAGTTGACCACCTTCCAGACCGTGAGATATGGAGTAGAGCTTGGCACTGTGAGATTCGTGCGAGAGCTCGGCGGGGTTGGAAGTGAGAGGTGCTCGACCAAGGTCAGGACCGTCAAGCAGCTCAGCGTCATGGAAAGTACCACAGCTTTAGGGAGGATCATCCCCACACTTGCCTCATGGTAAGTGTGAAGAGTTACTCCTCAAAAGGTGGACTGTCAACCATTGTTTAATAAAAAACATTCTTTTCCCGTTATTCACATTATGAAAGATCAAAGGCTAGATCAAATAACAAAGAAGAGAACCCAAAGCAGTTGTTCAACATGAATACAACAACCTGCAAAACAATTTTTCAACATAAGCTATTCCTTAAAGTTGCCCCTCCACAAATAAAAAGCATTCTTTTCCCATTGTTCAACATTAAAGTTGCCCCTGCACATTATTCATTTCACAAAAGTATTCCTACTTCACATTAAAGTAAACTGCTAAATTCAGAAAACTCTTCATCCATTGAACAAAGCAATCAGGTCAATGAGTCAACATCATTCATAATAATAATAATATTAAGGTAGGCAGTACACCATTCAATGATGTAAAGAGATGTAGTACACATCACAATAATAGCCTGACAACATTCAATATTAAGGGAGGTAGTAGACCTCACAATAATATCAAGGTAGGTAGAACACCACACAGTCACACACCAATCAAAGTAGGTACTACACCAATAATTCAGCAAAATATTACATAACAAAATAACTCCAAAATGGAAAAAACAACAACATAACACTCCCAGACTTGGTCATTGATGTCTTTACTACTCTTTCACATCTCCCACCATTAATGTGTTGTAACTGAGTTGCCTCCTCTACCACGGCTGCCTCCTCTACCACGAGTGCATCCTCTACCACGGGTGCCTCCTCTTTCACTTCTTCCTCCTCTCCTGGTACCTCAACCTCTTCTACCCCTCTTCCACTATTGTCTCCTATTTCAAGACTTGGACAATAAGATTTATTATGCCCCTTTTGCTTACAGTTTGAGCATGTCATCACACGGCCTATTCTAGAAACTTTTGCAGCAGGAGGTTCACTTTCTTCTCGGATTCTTTTCTTCTTAGGCCTACCTGACATTTTCTTTGGAAGGGGAGGATGTATCTTTCTCCACCTGCATTAGGCCATGCAGTTTCACCGTTAATGGGTTCTAAAGTGTGTGCATATGTTCTCTTGAAAGCAACAAGACTATAACATTCATCAACATAGCCTTCTGGGTCTTTTCCACAGTCAAACATCACACATATGGCGTGAGAATAAGGGATTCCAGTGAGGTCCCATAACCTGCAAGAGCATGTCTGACCCTCCAACTTTACCTTGTATTGGTATTTCCCTCTCTTCACCTCATAACCATCATCTCCATTAAAAACAACCCTCCACTTTGAACTATTCATAATGTTTCCATTTATTTTTTTTAACATTAGGGCATATGTTACCTTTCCATCTTCCTGCATGTTGCCTCTTCATAGCAATTCGTGTCATCATTCCTACCCTTATGTCCTCCAACATTGGAATTATGGCTTTGCTCCTACATCCAATCAAAGTACGATTAAAGGCCTCCGACATGTTGTTGTCTACAGCGTCACACTTAACAAATGTTCTCAGAAATGCTTTGCACCACAACTTGAATGGGTACTTCTCTATATCCTCTCTAGCTTTACTGTCTTTCTTACCCAATAATTCTAATGACTCTTGAATTTGTGATTGTGAAGTAGACCTCGCACACATCCAAAAAAGTTTCTTCATGTATGTGCCTCTGTGTTCCTTACTCCAATTTGCATGAATGTGCCTTGCACAATTCCTATGCTCTGCTTCAGGTAGTAAAGCTTGAATGACATTGATCAGGCCCTACAAAACATTATCAAAGTCACAGTTAAAGGTACTAATAATATGTAATTATAGGGCTAAAGTTAAAGGTACTAATATTAAGTACGTAGTTATAAAACATTGGCAGAATATGTACCTAGTTATAAGTTATTCATTAACCACAAAGTAATAATAAGTAATAATAAAGTTGAACTATGTAGTAGCTCTGTAAATATAAGTAATAATAAACACACTTGATACCTTTTGTTGATCACTAATAATTGTCATTGAGTGACTCTGTTTCAGAAGTATAGGTAGCTGGGTTGTCTGAAGAATATAAATCATATGTATCATGAATTTCAGCATCCTCTTCATGTGCACTTTCAATTCTAATTTTCTTGGACTGTCCCCGCACCACATGTTCTTCATGACATGATTGCACTTCCAGATTGCACAAGTGGTTCGTCCCAACCCCAGACTCATCATTGTCACTCCCATCAAATTCATCAGTCATTCCCATCAACATTTTCTACATCTTCATCACCATGTAAGGATCCAATATCATCATCTAGATCAGGTTCATCACTCATGTATGTGTCATCCCTTTCATCAACAAACCCAACTGTTTCCATTGTATCTATATCATGTGTCTCAGCACCAACACCATCCCCATGATCTACATAAAGGTCACACTTTCATACACTAGAACACAAACTGACCAACTCCAAAGTGCTTGCATCATCCACTAATTTCCTTAATGCTTCTAATGGTTCATATGGCAGTTTAAAAAGCATTTCTTTTACACATCCAAGTGGCCCAGATTCAAGATAATTCTTCAAATGAGGATAAGAAATGACATCTGGGTCACTCTTAATTACCTCAATGCTCTCATTCACATACCTCGTTGGTCTGCCCCTTTCAAAACTTCCACCATAGTGTACAATTAAATCCAAAGTCTCCCACATTCTGAAAAATATAACATTTTTTAAACAAATAACCAACACATATACAAAACAAACATACACACCCGATATATAACACATATACATACAGTTCACAACCTCAATGTCAAGAAATCATACAATTAGGGTATCTATTTTTTCAAAATTTCTCCTCCATTCTTTAATTAGGGTATCTCGAACAATTCACTCAAATACAAATAATCATTTACGGAAATCCTTCTTCAATTGTAATAGTTGGCATACAAACGATAGACTTTTATTGGTACCTTGTGTTTATCGTCGCTCGTCCTTCGCTTATTATACATACAGTTTAGGTCTCCTCTTTCTCCATATCCTTCAACGTTCTTTCTTCCCTCTTCACCCTTCACTCGTTGTCCTCATTGTGCTTGATTGTTCGCCTAGGTCAAAATTCGTCACTGTTCATCGTCGCTCTTGGCAAGGCTTTCCAGATTTTTCGTTTTCGTAATGTCAAGACAAGCATTCCTTCCACGTCGTAATGTATTTGCATAAGTCATGATAACACTTGACACTTAACCTGCTAACTCAACATTAAAAAGTTGTCTTACCGGCTAAACGAAAAAATTGAACGATTTTGAAGAGTCGGAGGATTGGATTGGACCTTTTTTTAGTTCGGGTACCCAATTAAGCTATTGATATGGGTACAGGGACCTATTTGACCCTTTAGCCCATTTTGAAACGCTTTCTTGTAAACAACATTGGTAGTATGCTCGATTTGTTCATCATCTCCATCTTAATTTTCATTTATAAATTAATCTTTCTTTTAATCATATTCAGGAATGTTTCTCTAAATGATACCGAGTATTATAGTAAAAATATCAATAAATAATATCCTAATAACATTCAACCAAAATAATAATAATATTATAATTATAACAACAACAATAATAATCATAACATTAATAATCAAGAACGCTATAATGTTTTTACTTTGGACTTATTTCAGTCTCAATCCATACCAGATCAGTTCAGACCAGACTTCAATAGTTGTAGAATACACAGAGACTATACATTTACTACGCCAAGTTAGCTCGGACCAGAAAATTCCAGTAGAAATAAAAAACCTAATAATATAATAACAATCATAGAAAGATAACAATAATAATCATAATCACAATAAAAAATTATAATCGAACAATATAATTATAATCCTAATTAAATATTAAATATATTTGACAAAGTCCAATTAAGATCTGAAATTAAAATACCAACATTTTAGAGCCCGTTTGGTAATACCCAAATCGACTGTATTGGCTGATTTTGCTGAAATTTATGAAGTTCTGACTGACTGAAATGGCTGAATTGGCTGATCAATTCTGCTGATTTATGAAAAAATTACATTTAAAATATATTTTATTAATAAAGTAAAGAAAAAATTACATGAAAAAATAGCTAAAACAATTCTCTATAGTAACCTCAGTCAATACAGCTAGAAAAATAACTTCAACCTCACTTTTTCTTATTATTACACAATTCAGCGCGCCAAATCAAAAGTTAGGTGTTTGGTGAAAAAGCAGGTTGATAAGTCTGATAAGCCGAAAAACGGGGTTATCAACGAGTTATTAATAAACTTTAAAATCAGCCCAGTCGAATTATCTTCAATCTACCCGGTCCAGCAACTTAAACCTAACGCGCCCTCTAAACTCTACTCCCTCCTTCGGCCGCCTCTCAAACCATCGCGTGTTCTTCCGCTGATCATCGTGTGTTTGATTATTCCGGCTGAGGTAAAGCCAAAGAATCTCAAACCACGTCTACCATCGTTTCGTGATTTTGGTTTATCCCCTGCATCCTCGTCGTCTTATTGTGATTTTCTTGAACGGTTAGGTAATTGAATTTCTTTATCAGTTTGTCCATGCATACACTCGTTATTGTGATTATTTACATGTATAGTTGCATATGATTTGGCCATAAATTGCATGTTTAACAGATTTACATTGTATCTGTATTTTATAGCAACAAAATACCTCTTTCATAGATTCATTTACATGGCTAAACCTATGCCAATTTGTGAAAATGATGTATACATATTTGTTTTTTTAAATGCCAACATTTGTGAAATTCTGGATTTAACCTAGCCGCTATCGATTTTGTGATATAGGATGTCTTCGTTTAAATCCTAGATAAAACATGACATTGTATTTTGGATACATCTATGCAGATTTTTTTTAATTGGTTAAATTGGTCTGTGATGCGTGAAATATCTAACTATTACACATATTTCAAACGGATTAATTTAAAACTTACTTCATCCATAGTTTTTGTTAGTAAATATATATTTTTAAAAGGTCACTATAACAGTTTACTTAAGAAAAAAAAGCAGTAAATTGAACTGTCCAAAAGTTTGTAAATTGACATTTAAATGACCAATTGACATTTAAATTTCCAAAAGTTTGACATCCAAAAGTTTCTATACCAAAAGTTTTTACCTAAAATAATATAAGTTGAAAACGACATTAACTTTCTAGATTAGAGCAATAGCTTGTAAATTGAACTGCCTAAACTACTTAAAGCATAATACCAAAGCTTTTATTCAAGAAAATGTGTGAAACCTTGTACTTTATTGAAAACCTGTGAGTCTGCTCTTGAAACCTTTGGTTATTGCTAAGTATAGATGAACCCTATCAAAACAACATGAAGTTCTATTTGCATAATTTTCGAAGAGTTTTAAGCATATATTATACCTCTTAATCATTGAAAATAGCTTCTAGTGTATCCCCTCTCCTAAAATGTGGTTGAACTTCAAAGACACGTACAACTCCCACTTTTAATTCCGAAGCTATGTTGCTCTGGATGCCTAACTGATTAAGTTGTATGTATATATACTACAAATTTGAACTGCTATGAATATCAATGTTCATTTACCCTCGTATGTTAAAGTTCAGTTCGGTAGTACCTACATACTATACTATCATAAAATATAATGTGTATTTTATTCAAATGGTTTGAGTACATGGACACTTTCTATGAAAACAATTGAACTATGACTTTAATACCTCTTTTTTTAAAACTGATTAATCATGTTTTCTTGAGACTGTAATTTCTTCATGTTAAATAGAAGTGCTTCAATATTTGAAATAATATTTCCGAAGCCTAAATTCTGAAAATTGTTTGAAAGATTCAGTTTTGTTCAAATGCAATTCATTAGAAAATGGAATTTATAGGAATCAACAAAACAAATCACTTTTTTACAACATTTTTATAACTTCTTAAGAATTAACAAAACAAATCACTTTTTAAGGATTTTATCTTTGATATTTATACCATCTGATTTTACTTCTATGTTCAATTTAAATTCAATTGAATATATTCTGTAAGTACATAAATGTTAACATTTTTATGATGGATCAAATGTTTTTTTGAACTTATGATGGATCAAATGCTATAATAAATTTATTATGTTTATATGTAAAATACCATAGACCCTGTAGTATGAAGTGTTTATTTTTCATACTATTCCCAAATTTGAAAATCCTAATGGAATTAATACGTTGGGGCTGGATTGTTTTAAATGCCGCCTAAAGATTTATTCTTGAATTGCATTTGAGCACACATTCATGCTTGTTTGTTACTTATTTAATATCAATTGCATCTCGAACGATCACCTTTATGTAAAGTTTCATACTAAATTTGATCTCATATGGAAATGTATGAGATTAAACACTGTAACGTGTAATACCTATTCAAACATACTTTATTTTCAAAGGGTCTTTAGACTCAAAATATAATTGTGAGACCATGTTTTAAATATAATAAATATATACTAAATAATAATCTTCAATAAATTTTGAACAGTACTATGTAAATATATGTTATATTTGTAAAATATGAATAATATCAAAAAATATATTTTTAAATCAATGGATTTATATGGTGATGTAGCTAAAAGTGTAAATGATGATCTGCATGTGATTAGAACAGTGTTGTCTGATCTTTTTAAAAATTATAACTTTGTATCTTTTTAAAAGGGTGATTTATATGTTTCTGTAAAATTTTCTGTAAAAGCAATTTAAAAGTGTAGCACATATAACCTATTCCAATGTACTTTATTTTAAAATACGAAAGGGTGTTTAGACACAAAATATAATTATGAGATGCATTTTAACATGATATTATCTCTTATGTTGCAGGTAGACATCCAAAAGGATTGATTATATCTGGACCTGAATAAGGTACCCAAATGTGTATTATTCATAAATGAAATGTAATTATTAATTAGTTAAAATTAGGGATTGCATGTATTTTCTATTGCATGCTCAAATTCTCAGGTAATGGTTTGGCCTTTTGGCCTAGATATTACTAAACATAAGATAAAAGAAAAAAAAGTTATCTGTTTTTATAAATTCCGAAAATGTGACCAACATGACAACTAACCCTGCAGTGCAAAGCGACTCCGGCCAAAGTGACTCCGACGTCACAGTGACTGCCTCACTGGCCACAATGACTGCCCCACCGGATCACAGTGACTACCCGCCCACCTTTTCCTACCATTTCCCCTGCCCATGTCACCGCACCCTACCATCGTCCATGTCCCAATCCTAGACATCCTCGGCCCTTTGAAACTGCCCAGTGACTCGTCCCACCAGCCCCTCCACCCCACCGCTGCCCAATAGCCAAGAGAGAATAAAAATCTCAAAAAATATTTCTGAAAGATCACACAAAAAAATCTCTTATTATTTTCAAAGTGCTATAACTTTTTTATTTGTACCCCGATGATTACAAAAAGTACATCAAAATATTATAATTTTTTATTATCTTTCATATGACACCAATATAAAGATATAAAAATAAAAAATTAGTTTAACACTTAAAAAATACTTATTTTTTAGTGCTACGGGGTATAATTTTTTTATTTGTGCTCTGATTTTTACAAAAATATATAAAAAATCTTAATTTTTTATTATCTTTCATATGACACCAATATTGGACATATAAAATTAAAAATGAAATATATTCAAATCTTTTAATCTGTTTAAGAATCTATAAGACTAAAGTTAAACAATCAGGCAAAACAGACCAAATATATAACATAAGCTATCGCTTTTATATGTTTGTTTTTGTGTTAGAATTTGTACAGTTTTATTCTAAACTATCACTCCAAATTAACAATGTGCACGATGAAAATAAATTTTAAACTGCAAAAACAAATAGATTTTTATATATTATTGTAATATTTTTTCCGCATCAAAGATAATAAAAAGTTATGAATTTTAATATCTAGTATATCTTTTGTAACAACCGTTGTACAAATAAAAAACTTATAACACTTTAAAAGGAATAAATTTTTGTAGGTACTAATTTTTTTATATATGTAATATTAGTGTTATATAAAAAATAATAATAAAAATTATACATATGGATGTTTTTTGTAACAATCGGATTATAAAAAAAATGCAACACTTTAAAAAACATAATTTTTTTAAAGTGCCTAATTAGTTTTTTATTTTCATATATACAATATTGGTGTCATATGAAAGATAATTAAAAGTTATAAATTTTGATGTAATTTTTGTAATCATCGGAGAACAAATAAAAAAGTTATACCACTTTAAAAATAATAGGAGATTTTTATTTGTGGGACGGATGAGTGGCTATTCTCTACTGGCTTTGCGTAGCTATGTTCATCTAGACAAAGCCGGTAGTTCAACTGACGATTGTTTAACTAGGGTTAATGCCAACATTTTTTTGGGAAATTTTTAACTCAACCCTATTTTGAGAAATATTTTTTTATTTAGAATTATTCTGGAAAAAACTCACAGTTATAGTGATGACTTTTACGTTCATTTTTTACATTTAAATGTTTGTGATATTATACTCATAGTAATAAAGATTATCATATTTTTGTACACGAATTTAATTTAATCGACTCTTTTTAAAAAACATCTAATTGCAGATCCTCTGTAACTTTCCTTTTATCTTAAAAAACATTACTTGACTGTGATCGACCAAAATGGGATTGAACTGGATTGGCCCCATAGATCAATCGCACGAGAACCAACTGGGAGTTTCTGGCTCCATGTAGAATGTAGTTGCAAGTTTAGCAGGAGGAGAATCAATAGATACATATTCCAAACCACGTTGCACCTTGCCTATGTATAGCAGCAATTATTAGTCAATAGTTTGAATGCACGCTACCCGTCCGATGAAATGCTGAAGAGGAAAGTATCCGGAAAAAATAACACTTCCGCTTCCCGTCATCATCAGAAGCGAACTCTAGTCAACGTGAAGTTGAAATGGGTAAAAGACAACGTCTTGGACACTGCAGTAGCTGGTCGGAGAGAGCTTAAGGCTGCCTCCATTCTTCTTTCCATCATTGCTTCTGAACCGCAGCTCTGGCTTCCCATTTACCATCTTCCTCGCCAGCTTGGCCTCCCTCTTGACCTCAAGCTTTCTACGTTTCTTAGAAGATACCCAAACATCTTTGAGGAGTTTTACCGTCGGGATTCCGGTGGAACTCCATTTCCTTGCTACAGATTAACTTCCGACGCTCTAGAGATTCACCATAAAGAAATTGAGATACGTAGGCTTTGTCATATGGATATAGTTAACCGGCTGAGGAAGCTTCTTATGATAACTAAGGATAGAACGCTCCCTCTGCAAACCCTTGATCAGCTGAAGTGGGATATGGGTTTGCCAAATGATTATAGGAAAATGTTTACCAATAACGCTTCCGAATTGTTTTCTTTTGTTCGCCTTTGTGATGATCGTGTGGGACTAAAGCTTTTACTCTGGGATGATAGTTTGGCAGTTTCCCATTTGGAAATGAAGAGTTTGATGAAGGATGGAACATTGGGTTTTCCTATCGGATTTACAAGGGGTTTTGGTTTGAGAAGGAAGTTTATGGAGTGGTTAGAGGAGTGGCAGAAGCTACCTTATACTTCTCCTTTTGCAGATGCCTCACATTTGGATCCCCGCACGGATGTTTCAGAGAAGAGAGTTGTGGGAGTCTTTCATGAGCTTCTGCACCTTACTTTGCATAAGATGACAGAGAGGAAAAATGTGAGCAATCTCCGTAAACCGTTGGGGTTGCCCCAGAAATTCACCAAAGTGTTTGAGAGGCATCCAGGAATTTTTTACATTTCCAGAAAGGGTGACACACATACTGTTGTCCTTCGAGAAGCGTATGATCGCAGCCAACTCATTGAGAAGCACCCCCTTGTTGATTTAAGGGAGAAGTTGGCTAGTATGATGGGTAAAGGATTCCTGGACCGTAGTCGAGGTTTATATAGAAAGGAAATCAATTGTGTTTTAGAGGAAAAATCTTCACACAGTCACCTTGCTGCTGAAAGAAATCTATATGAATATGATGAGGACTCGGATTGTACGTTCCTTTCAGAATATGAATCTGACTAAACCAGAATGTGTATGGATTTTTGCTGATGTAATGACGTAACATCTTGTAAATTATGAGAGCTTGTTGATTGCTACAATAGCCATTTTTCATATTACATAACATTCTTATTATCTTAAATACAGTATAACATTTCTTCTTTTTTTGTGTATGTTACTGTTTGCATTGGCTTGAGCCTCCCCCCTTATCAAATGTGTTTACATTTTCTTTTTAACTACCAGATACGGAGTCATATTTATGCTTAAAAAGTATATAGCCTTTGAAGAAAGTAAAAATTATTGACACAACTATTTTTTTCTCCAACCATTCTTGTTGTACCCACCTATAGCCTTTAGGAAAGTCACATATAGATACTACTACGCCTAGACTTGGAGTATTAAAAAATCAACACGATTTTTCTCCAATCATTCTTGTTGTACCCACCTATGTAGCATTGATACGGGTACGCAGAAACGTGGAAACGGGTACGGGAAAACGACAAAACCATAAAAAGTAGGATACATATACGGGGCCATATTTATAAATAATAAAAATTGTGGGGGTGTATTTATAAATATTACTACGTCTGTCCCCCGGTTATTGTCCCATTGTGGTTTACAATGCTTGACTGACGATAAAGCAAACATATCTCTGTCCCCACTAGAATTATTTTTAGAAAAAAAATTGCATATTCGGAAACTACATTAAAAGTTTTACAAAGGCGCAAAACCAGAATTAAATTTGATAAAAATTTGATAAATAAAGTAAGAGATTAAGAGTGATTTGTGTTGACCACCGGAGGACGGAGGGAGTATAAGTTATAGGGGTGTATTTATAAATATTAAAAATACAATTTTTTTTTAAAAAATACACATATATTATCCTCCGACGTCTACCCGTTCATGGCATTGAAACATTTTACATTTTCAAAATACTTAGATTTAAATTCCTATTTTATCTCATATACACTAGTCCATCTTGGAATATAAATATAGTCAATAAGTCATTAATTTAAAATGAGAAATAAGTCAAACAACTACACTTTTGAAATTAAAAGTGCAAGTACTCAAAGTTCTGGAGTAATCAAGATAGAAAACAATATTTTAAAATTTCTAATACATATTTCCGTTGGAGCTATTAATTTCTAGGGATAATTAGAATTAGGGATAGGAAGATGAGTGAATTAGGAATAGGCCCATTAGTTGTGTACCACATAAAAGCAAGGTAAAAATTATTTTTAGCTTTTCATTTTTAAGAATTTTATTACGTAAATTTAGGTGTTTTTTTAACAAAAAATTGGAAGAATTTCTTTTTTTTAAGTTGATGAGTATCCGTCAGGGTACGAGTATCCGAAATTTTAAAATAATTACCAAAAAATTTAAACTTTTAAAAATTGTAGGTATGATCCGAGAACGTACGGTACAGGTATCCTAGAGTATCCGATACGTCAATACGGTACGTGAAGTATTCGTGCTTCATAGGTACCCACATTATACCCACCATGTCTATGAAGTTTTTTTTTTGTTTATGAATCCGGTTCACAAACAAAAAAAACCTTGCGCAAACATGGTGGGTATGAAAGTGGATATAAGGGTGGGTACAAACAACATACTAGTATTTGATTTTTCTCACCTCTAGTGCGCTTAATCCTGGAGGCTTTTCCACACCACTCGCCCTATGCAACGTTACGTGTAAAACCGCACTTCCTCAAAACCTGATGCAAAAATATGTGATTCTAGTTCCGATTACGGATCAAAGTACACACTCAGAACCTTAGTAAGTTAGGATCTTTTTACTTGGACTGTTTTCAGTCCCAGACCAGACTTGAATAGTTATCTTCATCTTTATATACTTAAAGGCACTGCATAGGAAAAAGATAAAAATTCTCCCGCCTAAGCTAGGGCCTAAAATGTAATTTCCGCTCACCATTCCTACGCTCGCCATTTCTCTTTGACGCTGACTAAGTGTTCCCTGCTCACCATGCCTTCTCCTCTCTTCATGTTTGAAGAAATGCTTGACAAGGCACCGACACCGATTGTCGATGCTCAAGCTGCAGATTCCCATTGGCTCCGGTCAGAATCAGTCTCTTAATACCCGATTCAATTGAAAATCATTCTTATATTCAATTTATATTCTTATATTCAATTTATATTCTTATATATGCTCAATTCATTTGTATCTGTGAATAGAAATCATTCAATTTATATTCTTATATGGAGTATTTTCAAGGGTGGTTTCTAAATATGGTCTTCCCCTCTTTTACGTTTTTGTGGTAAGCACCGAAACTTTACTATCCTATGTTCATTTTTTTGTATTTCACATTTCCAATTTTATCATTCTTGCATGATATTGAGATTGAATGTGCTAGCATAGGAGTCATATGCCCGGATTATTTTTTGCACGTGTGCTGTTTGATAAAATGTTTATATGATATTTTCAAAAAAAAAAAAATAGCAAGGAGTGTAATGTTTATCTAGCATGAAGTGTATGTTTATCTTCTTAAAACTATGCTTATTCAATAATCACTCAGATGGAGCTCTTTAATTTTTTAATAACACTCGAGTCATCCCAACCAGGCTCTTAATTTGTTAGTCCATTTTAACTTTATTAAGTTTTATGTCAAAGTTCAGGAACCTGTTTCCGTGGCACTAAGTTTAGGCAGGTCTTAACTTCATATTATGTTTTAAGTATATACTAAGGTTAGGTTGCTCTTAACTTCATTTATTATTCTATACTAAGCATCCTTTCCAAGTTTATTGTAAACATGTGTAAAGTACACATATTCCAAATAGTATGCATATTCATATGAGTATCCCCTAGAATCAGGTCTTTGGGATCTATGCATCAGGTCTTCGTTCTTCGAATTAAGTTTCTCAATGCTTACTTTAATGTTTAATATTATGTAAAATATGAACACATGCCTCTCGAGTTAAGCTTGGCAACAATTTCAAAATGTGAATTCAAAAAAAGAGTGCATCATAGCATCGCTATTTTATGTCATAATCTTTGTAAAACAACATAGTTGAAGAAACCAATCCTTGGAGGCTTGGAGCTAAATGGGCAACTAAGGTGATATCATCACTGTTTTATGTCGTAATCCCTTTGCAAAACAACTTAACAACATAGCTTACTGACAGAAGATCCTAACCAAATGATCGTTTTCTAGGTTTGTGAAGTACTACCATGTTGGAATTTGTTAAATAACTCGACTTCCACAATCATTAGAAATGTAGCCATCTTTCAGATTTTGAACCACAATGATACCCTAAGAGAAAAATAAAATTTCCACCCTCTATTCTTCTCGTTGTTTATGGGCTATTTTTTGGCACTATGACAACTAGAACTAAAATTACAAATTTTAAGTTCAGTTTTTTCTTAACTTAATGGGCTTAGATTTCAACCACAAAAAGGTAAGAAGAAAATCAGTACTCTTTTTCTACTTCTCATCTTAACTTGTGTTGTACAACATTGTAAACGTAGAGATAAAAACATTTTATTTCCTTTTAATTGTTCTATTCTCGAACTAAAATTTTTAAAAGAGGGGAATGTTAAGTAGATAAAATTTGTAGTTTTTTTTTATCTGTAACTAAAACTTATTTATTCTCTTGGGCTAAATTTTCAAAACAAAAATAATGACAAAGATAATAAATTTCATTTTACCTTTTGTTCTTCTGTGCTTGGTCAAAAGCTTATTTTATTTCTCATAATGAATACAAGAGAAAAGTGGAGATGACCAAAAACCAAAACAAAAAACAAAAAGTAGAAGGTTTAATGAAGATCAGTGTTTTGATTTTTCGTATCTAGGAAATTGTACAAACGTCAGTTGGTTTGTTTTGTTTTATCAAAACTTTAGATGGAGTACGTGTTGCATTATGCAAGAGAGAAAAGGGCATACTATTCAATTGGATATAGTAAGCTTAACTTTTCTTACTCTTCTTCACCCTGAAACGGCATATGTGAATAAAGACACTTATTACAGATTTTTTATTTTAAATCAATACTTTAGAGAACAACTTTACCTCATGCTGTCATTCCATCATTAAGTTTAAAACTTATTCTAATTCTATTATTCTAATTAAAGTTAGTTTTTTGGCAGTTTTTAAAATGATAATCGTAATTTACGTGCAGCCATCTAAGAATACATGTTTTTTAGTTTTGACTCATGTATTAAGGACACCTTAGAATTCACATTGCCTCTTTAAAAAAATTCACATAGCCTCTAATTGAGCCCAAAACATGTATTCAAGGTTAGTGCTATTGCACATTTCACATTTCAGATTATACTTTTCATTTGTTCTTCCAATTTAATGTTTTAGTCAGAACCAAACTATTTTATTATAGCAACTTTATATTAAACCTAAAAAATTGGATTTAGTTGATGGTGATGATTATGATTGTGTAGACTTGGTGCAGCCACTTCCCAGAATATTTGTGCTCATCTTGAAGAATGACAGTAAAGAGTTGTTGCAAAGAAGCCAATACCAATTTATCTCCATCAGTACTTCTTCCGACAGTGACATAATGAAATTTGTTTCTTCATTTTCATTCAGAGGTTAGATCCCTTGAATGAAATGCCTGAATGAAATTCATTAATTGCATATTTCATGTTTGAAGAAATGCTTGAATGAAATTCTTTGATTTTTTAAATAGCATTGTGGTTGCCAGAATGGAACGTCACCCCCACAATATTCACCGGCACCACGAACACATTTGATGCCATGTTTATGGTCAAGCTCCCGTGCCGAGGAGAAGAAATTGGTTACTTTCGCACCCTCCAAACTGGTTCGATCGAGTTCTCTATATATCTCTGTATATTTGGTCTTATGTTTTGCATATATCATGTTTGAAGAAATGCTTAAAAGAAGTTCGCTGATATTTTAAATAGCATTGTGATGGTAAATCAAATATATGTAGTAGTATATTAGCATGGTAGATGATAATGAAGTACTTTTTGTCTTAGTCATTTGTTTGCTGTTTTAAAAAAGATTATTAAAGATGCTAATCTATTTACACTTATCTTATTCTTTACTTAATACAGTTGTTTCAAATTTGGTCTTATGTTTGGAAAATATTATGTTTGAAGAAATGATTGTGATTTTTCTTTGATCTTTTAAATAGCATTGTGATGGTAAATCAAATATAGTATTTTAGCATG